TAATGGAGTTGTTCATGAATCTTTTACATCTGCTTGTTTGGCATTAGGACTTGTAGAAGATGATAGTGAGTGGATTAGGACAATCGAAGAAGTTGCATTATGGATGATGCCTTATTCACTTCGCCAATTATTCACAAGAATTTTAATTCAATGTCATCCTGTACATCCGGATAAACTATATATGGGAACAATTTAAAGGTCAAATGTCAGAATATTATTAAAAAATAAACGATATTGAAGCTATACAAAGGGCTTGTAGTAATATTAAAACAATGTTATTTAACGAAGGATATAATTTAACTGACTTTTAGGGGTTATTAGATATACAAGATGAAATTTTTACTGAACAAGTAAATGATATAAATATTGCAAAACATATTAACATAGGAGAACAGAATTATGCTAAATTAAATGTAAAACAAAAACTTGTAGTTGATTATGTACTTGATGCCCTAAAGGATTCTTCTTTTGATGGTTCTATGGCAATTGTTAAGAAGTAAAGGAATAAATGTTTGCAACATGGCATTTACAGGTATAGCTGCGACTCTGCTTCCTAATGGAAATACTGTTCATAAAGGTTTAGGCTTACCCGTTCCATTATACAGTGATTCATTTTTAAACATTAAAGTTCAATCTTTAGAAGGCTTCTTTTTAAAAAATATAGATGTTTTTATTTGGGATGAAGCACCAATGGCTCCAAAATATGCTTTAGAAATTATGGATTATCTATTCCAACGAACCTTTTGGTGTTTAAATTGTAATTCTAGGCGGAGATATTCGACAAACTTTACCAATTAAAGAACGGGGTACTAAATCAGAAATAGTAAATTTATCAATAAAAAATAGTAAACTATAGAAATATTTAAAAAATACACATTAACAGATAATATGAGAGCTTTACCACAAGAAACTGAATTTGTAGATTTTTTACTCAAAGTTGTCAATGGTAAATTAAATGATGCAGATGATAATGTTATATTACCAGAACATATTATTCAAAAAGGGAATAGGTACACATAATTTAAAATTAACAATATTAAAGTCCGTATTCCGTTTGCATATATATATTTTGTCTGTTCGCTTTTAGTTTGTCTGTTCGCCGTTAGAGGGGGCAAAGCGCCCCCCGCTGCGAGGGCTACTTGGAATTGAGTCCCGAGCAACCTTCACAGCGGGGGTCGCTTGGACCCTCAAACCCTCATTAAGGAAAACTGCTAATGACTTTTCTATTAATAATGAAAAATATAAATTTTTAAATAGTAACATTTTTAATTTTTAAATTAACATATTTAAATTCCTTACTTTTTCACGATTTTATACACATGTTGTTTACCAAAAAAATGTTAAAATTGAAAGATTAAGTTAAATATTTATTTAATAATAGGTATGGTTTTTGGTAGAGTTAACTTCATTCTATGTATCTGGAAAAATAATAATTTTTTTTAATTTTAACATTTTTTGGTAAACAACATATGTATAGAATCGTAAGAAAGTAAGGGTTGCTCGGGACTTAGTTTTGACTTGGTGTGCCGTATGGTGGGGGAAGGCTTCTTTCCCTCACGGGACTAACTTGGACATCACTCCTTGTATATAGTGTAGAGAGTTAACAATGGTGTTTCGTAAGTGGTATATTCATTTTTTGAATATATCACATTACTATTTGATATACTTTTTTTTATTTTCGATAACATTAGACATTTTCTTTTCTTTTTTTGTATAATTTCTCTACAATTTGTAGAGAGTTAATTAAAGTGTTTCGTGAGAGGTATAGTTATATTTTTATAAATATTATATTATCATTTGATATAGTTTTTTTCATTTTGAATTTAAAGGATAAAGAAATTGACATTTTTTTCTGTTTTGAATAAAATTTGATATTTTTTCTGTTTTTAATAACATTTGATTTTTTTATTTAAAAGATAAGAAAAGAAATATTGGATAAAATTGAAATTTGGATATTAGATGAAATAAAAGATAAGAAAAGAAATATTGGATAAAATTGAAATTTGGATATTGGATGAAATAAAAGATAAGAAAAGAAATATTGGATAAAATTGAAATTTGGATGAAATAAAAGATAAGAAAAGAAATATTGGATAAAATTGAAATTTGGATATTGGATGAAATTGGAATTTAAAGTATTTAAAATTTAAAATGGATTAAAGAGAAATATATATATATATATTGGATGAAATTGGAATTTGATGTATTTAAAATGGATTTAAGAGAAATATATTGAATGAAATTGGAATTTGACGTATTTAAAATGGAAAAAAGAGAATATATTGGATAAAATTGGAATTTGACGAATTTGAAATAGATTAAATAGAATATATTGGATAATATTGAATTTAGGCTTATTGGATATGTAAATTGGATGAATATGGAATTTGACGAATATGAAATATATTAAATAGAATATATATTGGATAAAATTGAATTTAGGGCTTATTGGATATGTATGTTGAATAAAATTGGAATTTGACATATTGAAAATGAATTAAATTGAATATTGGTTGTTGAATTCAAAAACATTGTTTTATGGGTTAAATATGATTTGATTGGTTAAATATTGATATGTTGGTTAAATTATTAAATATTGGATAAAATTGGAATGTTGCTTATTTGAAATGGAGTAAATACACTTTATTACTTGAAATCTTGAATATTGTTTTATGAGTTAAATATTGGTTGGTTTGTATTATTGATATAAGAGACAATGATTTTGTAAGAATTGATGAAATTGTGATGTAGAAAATATAAATTGAGAAAACGTAATTATTATTATTAAAACCCACAAATTGGAATTAAAATTAGATTAAGAAGAAAATATTGATTAAAAAATGTCGAGAATAGAAGGTCATGTTAATTTAAGTGCTAGAGAATATAGAGCAATACTTAATAATAAAAAAATGTTAAGTGATAATCAGATTTATGAATTTGGAAAAATTTTGGAAAGAGAATCAAATTCTGTGTTTAGAATGCAAAGTACTTTATTTGTAAATGAAGATCTGTTATGCCAAACACTGTTAATTACGAAAGCATAAATAACAAAATAAGGCAGCATTTAAACAAAATGTTTCAAGATAATCGTCTATGTCAGTTTCAGAGATGAGAAAATCGAATATGAGACATTCGATTGTAGAGTGTGATTGGAAGCGTCTTTTGAAATATGAAAAAACCAATTCTTATAATTTTTTGAAGACACACCCTTGGAATAATGTAAATAATAATAAAATTGTAACAATGGAGTAGTCAAAGGCTAAGTGTTCTTTGAATCAAAAAAATGATAATAATTTTAATTCAATTAGTAATAATGATAATAGAGGCTGTATAATTGAGCACTCCAAAAGTAAGTGTCTTTTAAATGAAGAAAATAATAAACAAAGATTGTGTGCAATAACAGCTAAAGAAAGAATGAAGAAAGTAAGGCAGGAAGAAACGGAGGAGAAAAAAATAATTAGGAGAGCGAATGATAGGTTAAAAAAACGTAATAGACGAGAAACAGCAACTGAAATTGAAAAGAAAAAGCTCCAAAAAATAAATTCAGAGGCTAAGCGATTTTTGAATAAAAGAAAGGATAAGAGTTGTAATTCTACTAGTAATAATGACAATAAAGGCTGTTTAATTGAGCACCCCAAAAGTAAGTGTCTTTTAAATGAAGAAAACGATAAACAAAGATTGTGTGCAATAAAAGCTAAAGAAAGAATGAAAAGAAAAAGCTCCAAAAAATAGACTCAGAGACTAAGGGTTTATTGAATAAAAAAAATGATAAGATTTTTAATTCAACTAATAATAATGATAATAGAGGTTGTATAATTGAGCAACTAAGGAAAGAAGGAACAGAGGAGCAAAAAACAATTAGAAAAGAGAATGATGGGTTGAGAAAACGTAATAGCTCAGAAGCAGAAATAGATTTAAGAAATAAAAAACAAAAACTTACATTAGGAGTTGCAATTATGTCTTTTGAAAATTTTGATGAATGTAAATTTGAACAAAATTATTTGGGTTTGTTGAATGTTAAGTGCGAGTTTTGTGCTGCATTACAATTTATGTGTGAAAGACCACTAGATAAAAAATTTAGTAGTTGCTGTCATAAGGGAAAAGTAAAATTAGATGATTTAAATGATTATCAGATTTATTTACGTAATTTATTAAATGATTCCAACTTGGAAGATAAAATTTTTAGGAAAAATATTCGTTCTTATAACAGTTCTTCTGCTTTTGCCAGTATGGGAGCTAAATTAGAAATTCCTAAAGGGTATGGTCCTTATGTTTTTCGTATACATGGACAAGTGTATCTTAAAACATATGCTCTTCATCCTAATGATGGTGACAGTTTAAAATATGGTCAGCTGTATATTCTTGATACTAATGAAGCTGTATTTGAACGATTAAAAAATGAATCGAATAAAAAATGTTCACCACCATTACTGGAAGGAATAGATAAATTATTAAGAAAGGTTAGTCCATTTGCAGATGCCTTGAAAATGATGAGAGAAGTAGAATTAGAAGAAGAAACTAGAGCGAAATTGGAAAATAAACCTATAAGGGATATTCAAACGTGGATCAAACGGGATAGATCATTAAATCAAAGTAAATTCAATGTACACTCTTGTAATGAAGTAGCAGTTGTATTTGTGAGTGAAAATGGTAAACCTCCAGTGGATCGTGATATATGTATACATCCAAAAGGTTCTGAAAGTATTCCCATTTCTATTCTTAGTGCAAACGCTGATCCTATGATATATCTTTTAATGTTTCCTTCAGGTGATTCAGGATGGACTGTAAACATTAAGCAAATTAATAGTGTTCGTAATGTTACTGCTTTACAATTTTATATGTATTGCCTTTCTTACAGAGGAATGTTTAATCCATGTACGCAAATGGGAAAATTAAGTCAACAATTTATAGTTGATATTTGGTCAAAAGTCGTAGCTGGACGCATAAGTTTCATTTATAAAAATCAAAAACAACTTCGAGTAGAAATGTACTGATGATTAATGGATTATGTACATAATAAAGCAAATAGAGAAAATGTAAAACCAGGAAGAATAATTATTTTACCATCAACATTTACTGGAGGACCACGTTCGTATCAACAATCTTTTATGGATGCCATGCGATTAGTTCAAGAATTTGGAAAACCTGATTTATTCATTACAATGACATGTAATCCAAAATGGCGAGAGATTAGAGAAAATTTTTTGGAAGGTGAAATTGCGACTGATCGACCGGATATTGTAGCTAGAGTTTTTCAACAAAAGGTAAAATCGCTTATGAGTGAATTAAAAGATAAAAATATTTTTGGATCAGTTCTCGCTTATGTGTATGTAACAGAATTCCAAAAGCGTGGATTGCCACACATACATTTAATTTTATTTTTGGATAAAACTTTTGCGATTCGTGATGCAGAATCTGTAGATAAAATAATATGTGCAGAAATTCCAGATAAAACAAAAAATCCAGAACTTTTTAAAATTGTAAAACAATTTCAAGTCCATGGACCTTGTGGAAAGCAAAATATGAATTCGCCTTGCATGAATCTGGAAACAAAAATTTGCGTGAAACATTATCCAAAACCATTTTGTTCAGAAACAAATTATGATTCAAAAAACTATCCGGAATATAGACGAAGAAATGATGGTAAAAAAATTATTTTTAATATAAAAGATGGAACAATTAAATGCACTGCAGCCAATTCGATGATTGTACCATATAATCCGTATTTGAGTAAAACATTTGAATGTCACATTAATGTTGTAGCATGTGGTAGTATAGGTGGTGTGAAATACTTATTTAAGTATTGTTTTAAGGGCCATGACTGTGCAATGGTAGGTATTAAAGATAATAATGATTTAATGCACTATGATGAACCTCAACATTATTTGAATACACGTTATGTATGTCCACCAGAAGCAATGCATAGATTATTCGAATTTAATATGCACGAACAATCACATGCGGCATACAGATTAGCTGTGCATTTACCTAATTAACAAGCAATATGTTTTAAAGATGGAATGGAGCAAGAAGCGATTGATAAATATAAAAATACAACGTTAACAGCATGGTTCGAATTAAATACAAAAGATCCTGAAGCACGCCAACTTTTGTACTCAGAAATACCATATAATTATGTATTCGTTGAATCATTAACCACTTCGGCGGCATGGCGTTCCAATTGGCGTTCCATGAGTAAGTGGCAGAAGCGGCACAAAATGCGAAAATGGCGTTCCTACTTGAACTCGATTTCAAAAGTCTGTAGTCAAGTTAAACTTGCCAAAATTGAATATTCTTATTATTTAAGATAAATGAAGATGAATAGACCAAAAAAAATTATTTTTTGGAGGTGTTAAATGGTTTTATAAAGGTTTTAATGTAGCCAATTTTTAACACTTTTTACGAATGGCGTTCCAATATTCACCCAAAATAGTTCACAATATTGGACCCGCCTATTTGATGTTTTGAAAATCAATTTAAGATTCATAATCTTAAATAATAAAAAACATTTGGTTTGGTAAACTTAATTTGTTTACAGAGTTTAGAAATCAAGTTTAAATTGGAACGCCATTTTCGCATTTTTTGCCGCTTCTGTGACCTACTCACGCGACGCCAATTGGAACGCCATGCCGCTGAAGTGGTTAAAAACTTGGGAAAGAAGAAACAGAATGACAAAAACTGTAATTTCTCGAATGTATTTTGTCAGTCCAAAAGATATTGAAAGGTATTTTTTAAGAATTTTATTACTATATGTACGTGGTGCTAAATCGTATGCAGACATAAGAACATATGAAGGTGTCACATACAGTACTTTTGTAGAAGCTGCCAAGGCAAGAAATTTAATGATAGATGATAATGAATTAGATAATTGTTTATCTGAAGCTGTAAGTATGAAGTTTCCTAATGAACTTTGTCGTCTGTTTGCATATATATGTGTATTTGGATTGCCTGCGAATGCTGTTGGTTTATGGAATAAGTATAAAGAGTATATGGTTTTTGATAATAATTTACCTGCAGAAATTTCAATACAAAAATCGTGAATTTTAATTTACGAAGTACTTAACTTTCATGGGTTTTCCTTACATAAATTTGGTTTGCCAAATATAGATCATAAACTTCTTAATGATTATAATTTTGTAGATTTAGAAAATAATGAATTAGCATTACGATTGTTGAAAAAAGAAGCTGTTATTCTCATTGAGAGGTTAAATAATGATCAAAGTCAAATTTTTGATGAGGTTATGATGGCAATACATAACAATGATTGTAAGAATAGGTATATTTTTGTCGACGGACCTGGAGGAAGTGGAAAAAGTTATTTACATAATACAATTATCACTGCTGTTGAAAGTGAAGGCTTGATAGTTTTACTAGTTGCATGGACTGGTATAGCTGCAGCATCTTTTAAAAGGTGGTCGAACATCACATTCTTTGTTCAAGTTTCCTATACCAATTAATGAAAATTCAACATGTAATATAAGTGGGAGGTCAAAAGAAACTGAACTTTTGAAAAGTGCCAAAATTATTATTTGGGACGAAATAACAATGGCACCTAAATATGCTTTAGAAGCAATGGAATTGATGTTAAGAGACATGACAAAATGTAAGAAACCTTTTGGAGGTAAAGTTATTTTGCTTTCAGGAGATTTTCGACAAACTTTGCCAATTGTTCCACACGGCAATCGTACTCATATTGTTGAGGTATGTGTAAAAAATAGTAGATTGTGGAATCATTTTCAAACTAAGTCTTTACATTCTAACGTTAGATTAGATAATAATCAAATCGAATTTTCAAACTGGTTATTAAATGTTGGTGATGGTAAACCACAAAGTACATTTGAAAGAGAAAATGATGTTTTACAAATTCCGCAAGATATGATTTCGAATAAAAATTTAATTGATGAAGTATATGGATCCTCAATAAGTCGAAATGATTCGTCTGTATTTTCATCTTGCATTCTTTCATTAACCAATTCTGAAGTATTAGACATGAATGAACGCATTTTGTTAAAATTAGAAGGAAAAGAAGTAGTTTATTATAGTAATGATTCACATGTCGATGATGATGACCCAAAAGATATAAATAATATAGTTCTAATAGAATTTTTAAACAGTTTAACACCAGATGGTTTACCTCCTTATAAACTATCATTAAAGGAAGGATGCATAATTATGCTTTTAAGAAATATGAATTTAGTTCAAGGATTGTGTAATGGGACTCGATTAGTTGTCAAATCTTTATTAACAAACGTAATTTCTGCAGAAATAATTACTGGAAAATATAAAGGTGAAATAGTATTTATTCCTCGTATTGATTTATCGCCATCACAAGATGTATTACCTTTTAAAATTGTAAGAAGACAATTTCCAGTTAGACTTGCTTATGCAATGACTATGAATAAATCCCAGGGTCAATCATTTGATAAAGTAGGAATATATTTGCCAATTTCAGCATTTGGTCATGGTCAAGTTTATGTTGCTGGTTCTCGAGTAAAGTCGAAAAAAATCTAAAAATTCATGTTATTGGTTCTGCAGCATAGAAGAATTCAGAATATCCACATAAATTATATATAAAAAATGTTGTTTATCATGAAATACTTTTATGTAATGCTATATATGAGGCATTTTACGTGAAATGTCCTAAGTTGAAATTTCAACTTCTTGAAAAAAATTGAAACTCGAGGAATTTGTTGTTCTATCAAGTAGAAATGTGACCCAAAAAATATTTTTGATTTTTTCGAAAAATTGGAGGGGGTAGAGGGGGGTCAATTTGACCAATTTTGCCAACATCGGCTACTTTGTGAATTTTTTCTGAACATACTTGTAATGGGAAAAATTTTTTAGAATATGTTTCTGAAAGGTTTTTTCGTCCTCTTTCCAATGGTGTATTTTATTTTTTAATATTTTAAAAATTTACCCTAATTTTTGATAATTTATATTTAATTTTCAATTTCCCAAAAATCGGTCCGTTTTTTTTTAAATAAATTATTGCAAACGAAAGCTGAGGTTTTTTTACTATCGGCATGTAAATTTTCAGAATGCCCTTTTTTTTTGTTTTTGAGTTATTGAATTTCAAAGAATAAATTGCGGCGCGCTGCGTCGCGGTTGCACTGAGCCGCGTGGCAACCCATGGCAACCGGCGTGAGACGAGGCGCCCGGGACGCTGCGCGCCGCAATTTATTCTTTGAAATTCAATAACTTAAAAACAAAAAAAAGGGCATTCTGAAAATTTACATGCCGATAGGAAAAAACCTCAGCTTTCGTTTGCAATAATTTATTTTTAAAAAAAACGGACCGATTTTTGGGAAATTGAAAATTAAATATAAATTATCAAAAATTAGGTTAAATTTTTAAAATATTAAAAAATAAAATACACCATTGGAAAGAGGACGAAAAAACCTTTCAGAAACATATTCTAAAAAATTTTTCCCATTACAAGTATGTTCAGAAAAAATTTACAAAGTAGCCGATGTTGGCAAAATTGGTCAAATTGACCCCCCTCTACCCCCTCCAATTTTTCGAAAAAATCAAAAATATTTTTTGGGTCACATTTCTACTTGATAGAACAACAAATTCCTCGAGTTTCAATTTTTTTCAAGAAGTTGAAATTTCAACTTAGGACATTTCACGTAAAATGCCTCATATACATAACTATATTAAAAATGTTGTTGATGATGATGATAATTATGATAGATTGCTTGAACAGTTAATTGCTGTCTACTATATGAAAAAGTAACTTAATAATTAAAGAAATGGTATACATTTTTTAGTGGTAATATACATTTTTTTCAAAAGCATAAAATTTATAAAGATTTAAAAAATTTTATTACATTCTTAAAATAATGGTAAAATTATAACAAGTTATAATTTTGTTTATACTTCTTTGGTTTAAGGGCATAACAGTATAATTAAAATCTGAATTTGCGAAATAATTTTAATAGTCATTTTAAGGGGTAAGGTCACTGTAGATACTTCCAAAAATTGATTTTTTATTAGTTAAAAAATGTTTTGAACATTAGAGAATAAAGAAAAAAAGGGTTTTATATGAGTCCAAAATCGATTTCATTGAAATTTCGAGTGTTTATATGTTGCCTATACATTGACGTGAACGCGACGTGCTGACGTCACAATGTTGATCAAATGGGTGATGTTAGCAAGCGTTCACATCGCGTTCTCATGGAACGAAGAGCCAATTTTACCGTGGATGCTGGGCCCCTTCGGAACGACTACCTGCGTCGGTTGACTACTTGATGAGCAGAAACTGCATAGAAGATAGTACAAATACAGAAAGATGTTTTTATGGTGCTGGAATTGCAGATTAATGGTAAACATTTTTTAATAGTAAAAATTTTCACTTTTTCATAAATATGTATTATACATTTTAAAAGTTTAAAAGTTTTTTTGTCGAAAAATGATTCTTTTTAAAGGATTTTGATTTTTTGCAAAGTGCACAAAAATTAATATTTTTTAAAATCCCTACGTGTTTATTTAGCTATTCTCATGTAGATAATGAAAAAATTTTATATTTTGTTCCAGATTCAATTTTGCACCCGCGTGCCGCGAAGCTCTTCAAAGGAAAAGCACTTTACAAAAATTGTCTGTACTTTCGCCATTTTGTAATATCTTTTATTGTTAATTTGTATTCTTTTATTTAAATATAAAACTAATCATATTTCACATAAATATAATTGTATTCCTTTTCCTTATATCAAAAAAATTCTTGAAAACAGGCGCTTTTATTACATTTACAGTGGCTTACCCTTTAATAAAAAAATGGAACTAGTGAGAGTTACACTGACTCTCAAATCTAGGGTTTCGTTTAGAAAATATACAAACACTTTTTATTTATTCATTAAATTCTCATTTTTAAATGTGGTTGCTTTAATTTTATCAGTAATAACTTTCTTCTTTATATTTACTGATATAAACATTTAAATGTATTTTTTTATTTTTTTAGAAGCTAAATTTTTCTGTTATGAATTAAAATTTTTTCTAAATGTAGATTTATTTTTAATGTCAGATAACTCAAAAGTATTCCTTTTTTTATTTTTTTAAAAGAGAAGAAAAGATTAATTTTTCTCTCTACTTTTGAATAATGATAACAATTTTATTCATTTTTTAGTGAAAAATAAACAAATTATAAGGTTTTTAACTTTGGAATGATAAATTTAAAAAACCTACCTCAAAATGTTAAGAAGGTTTTCAAAAAGTTTCAGAGTGGACTTGACAAGTGTGATGGGTTTAAGTTTATTTTTATTTATGTAATTTATGTCAATTTTGTTAAAATTTATTTTAGAGTTAATGATTACACAGCTCAACAAAAAACGAAAAATTTTTGCACCTGGGTTTATATAATGATTTTTCTATTTATTATTCACTAAAATAAAGGAAAAATAAACATATTCTTTTTAAAGTTTGCTTTTGTAGCAGTTGCAGATATATTAAGTACGTTTTATTTCTTGAGTATTGATATGCAAAATATATTTTTACAAAAAAATTTTATTGCAAAATGGCTGCTGTGCAGCATTTTATTGGATGGCATCTGTTTTTTAGGGTTCCATAGCCGGACAACTTTTGATTTGGAAATAAACCAAAATGTAATTTTCTATACATCAACAGCTATCGACACACGTGAAATTTTTCCGATAATTTGATTTTTGAAAAATGGTGATTGATTGAACAAAAAAGAAACAATTTAAAAAAAATCCACGAAATTGTTAATAAAAATAAAATTAAGTAATATAAAAAAAATCCTACGTGTGTCGATAGATGTTGATGTATAGGAAATAACAAATTTTCGTTTTTTTTTCTAAATAAAAAATTAAGTACGTTAGTTGTCTGGCCATGGAATCCTGAAACGAGACGCTTTAAAAAAAAAGGTTGCAAATCCACCATTTTTTAATAAAATTTAGAAAATATATTTATTTTGCACATCTATACTCATGCAATCCTCCTTAATATGAAACGAGTAGATATGCAAATTAGGTAAAGAAAGACATTCTTATTTATATTGCCCTTAGAGAAAGAGAGAAACCAGAGCCGGCGTAACTGGCGCCGTTATCTTTTGTGTTTCAATTATAAAAGTATATATATAGTGACTTTTATCTAAAGTTTTTCTTGCGATGAAGGAAGAAAGAAAATATTATTACCTGGGTCCCTCATTTACAAAGGCTATTGTTCAAGGGTTCGTATTGTTTGTGGTAATCCTTCGTAGGGTGTATCAACCTAAAAAGAAAGATTAAACATTTTTTTAAATTTGTAGTCGCATTAGCAGGATTGTTCCGTGCCAAACTAGCTCTAACTATTCTTGACCTATGGGGGAGTAAGGAACTCATATTTCAATTATTCCTAAATTTTGTGGAACAACGTAAATTTAATTAAAAATAAATTACGATATTCGTGTTCAGCAAGAATATAATAAAGCGTGATTAAAATTACGTTGATATTTTAGAAAAACAGGTGTTTAATAAAAATAAACTCCTAACTTCTCAAATGGTGTCAGATTGACTTACAATTTTTACTATCATTTGTTTGGTCGTCCATAAACAACGTAGCCCCATTTTTTGGGAATTTTGACCCCCCCTCCCCATGTAGTACGCTATTACATATATTAGCGCCATTTTTTCCTCTTGTCGCAATCAATTGCTTGACCCCCTCCCCCTCAAGAGGCTACATGGTTTATGGATGGCCCCTTAGTGTTAAGACACGAAAATATCATGAATGACGCGCTTTTTGAATAAGCCATTTAAGCATTACAACCACTAACTAACCTTGCCCCATCCTCCCCTACTATATCTTTTGGACGTTTATAAGAAAATGTTTAATTTTAACACAGCAATTGTTTTAACGTTTAGCATGTTTTTTAGAATTGTTAAAATTTCGACATCCATTCTTACATTTGTGGTACGCTATCAGATTAAATTTTCTAAATATTATAAAAAAAGAATGAAATTAGTGTGAAAAATACTTAATTGAAGTATTATTGTTTCTGTTTGACGATAACTGTTACTATTTAGAAATATGATACAAACCTATTTAAAAAAAAGTTTTATGAGAAATAATATTCAATATTATGATTTGTTTAATTTAAGAAGTAGACAGAAAATTTTCCAATAATTGTTAAGTAATCTATCCCTATTAATATAAAATCATATCGCCTCCGCCGCTGTTTCAGAAAGTTTTAAGGGACCCTTATAGTAGGGGGAACATAGTCAAGGTTGGCCCACTGTCAAGGTAGGTCCATCGTCAGAAACAAGTTATATTTGACCTAAATTCAGGTCAATTTAAGGGCAGTTTTAACCTACAGGCCAAAATTACTCAAAATTTAGGTCAATTTTAAGGGCAGATTCAACCTATAGGTAAAAAACTAACAAACTAACCCCTCTGCCCTCAAAATTTAAGTCAATTTTAAGAGTAGTTATGACTTAAAGTTAAAAATTGACAAACTTATCGCTCTGCTTGCAAAATTTAGTTTGACATATTTTTTAGCCTATACATGAAAAAAGCAAATT